CCGCTGTGGATGCTGTACGTGTGGCGTGGGCACTGGTGGACCCTGAGCAGCCTGGCCTGCCATGCCGCCGGCTTCGTCTTCTACTCCAACATGTACGTCAGTGTCCTGCTCCTCTGCCTCATCTCCCTGGAGCGCTACCTGGCCGTGGCCCACCCGCTCCGCTCCCTGGGCCTGCGGAGCCGCCGCTCGGCCGCCACCGCCAGCGCCCTGGTGGCCCTGCTGGTTTTCACCTTCCACGTGGGCATCGCCCTGCGCTCCCCGGAGCCGCTCAACGGCTCCTGCTACGACAGCTACCCGCTGCAGCCCGGCGTGGCCAGGTTCAACTACTTCCGGGTGGCCGCCGGCTTCGCGCTGCCCTTGCTGGTCCTGGGGGTCTCCTACCTCAAGATCTTCCAGGGGGTGCGGGCCAGCGGCACCCTGCTGGGCTGGCAGAAGGCCAAGGTGAAGCGGCTCTCGCTGGGCGTCATCGCCATCTTCCTGCTCTGCTTCGCCCCCTACCATCTGCTGCTGCTGGTGCGGACGGTGGCCTCCGCGGTGCTAGACGGCTGCTCCCTCTGCTCCTTCGAGCAGCGGCTCCACCTGCCCTTCTCCCTGGCCCTGGCCCTGTCCAGCCTCAACAGCGCCCTGGACCCCGTCCTCTACGCCCTGGTAAGCGACAGCATCAAGAACGATCTACGGAAGGTGTTCGGCTACATGGCGCGCGGCCCGCCGCCCGGCACCATCACCTCTCTGGCCTTGTGACCGGGGCTGGCACGGCACCGACCGAGGGAGACTGGATCGGGGATGCCCGATGGTGCCAGAAGGGGGAGCTGCGTGCTTAGGAACGTCGGCCCCGCCCACGGGAGAAAGCCTGTAGCACCATGCCCGATGGCACCAAGGCCTGGTCTACACTACGACTTTAATTCGGATTTAGCTGCGTTAATCCGAATTAACCCTTCACCCGTCCACACTACAGAGCCAGTTAATTCGAATTAAAGGGCACTTAAAATCGATTTCTGTACTCCACCTTGACGAGCGGAGTAGCCCCAAAATCGATTTTGTTAATTCGAATTAGGGTTAGTGTGGCCGCACACCACCGAATTAATGTGGTTAAATTAATGGGGTAGTGTGGCCGCACACCACCGAATTAATGTGGTTAAAAACCGAATTAATGTGCTTAGTGTGGCCGCGCACAATCGAATTTATACAACCTGTTTCCCAAATTCGAATTATCTAAATTCGGATTAATCCCGTAGTGTAGACATACCCCAAGAGACGCAGCTGGATCCATGGGCGGATGCCCAAGGCTGGAGGGGAGGGGTCTGGGGCCCAGCAAGGGCTGAGGGGGTGGCTTGCCAATGAGGCTGCATAGACGGGAGCATTGTGGGAAGGGGACAGCCCTGCCTGGGAGCTTGCGCTCAGCGGCCGAGCGGTCGCTCTCTGTCGCTGGGATCCCGGGCGCTGCGTGGGGCTTGGCGGGGAGCTAAATCTGCGAACTCTGCAGAGAACGGGGTACGGGACAGGAGATACTCCAAAGAGGGTGAAAGATTATTTAGGGGGAGCAACAAGGAGCAGTGAAGACAGAGCGGGTAAAGCAGGATGTGATTCCCTAACAGCGAGGCTGGGGGATCCTCTCTGCCGGGGACGGAGCCCATCTCATCGGGGACTTCAATCGAGGGGTCCATGGTGTTGAGAAGAGGGCGTCTCCACCCAGCAAGAGAGAAACTGTTACCAAGCCCTCGTTCACTGTCCCAACACTAAAGTGTGGTCCGGGGCTGGACATCAAGTTTTGCGGGTGACTTTCACTGCAATAACCACCGATGAACATCTTTTAAACCTTTTCTTACAAGGACCCTGAAAAAAGAAGGGAAACCAGTCCAAGTCCTAAAGGAGGCTTCTCTTGTAACGAGGTGTCAGCGCCTTTAGCAATAGAAGGTTGTTGTAATAGTTCCTGACTGACAGTCTGTTAAATAGCATGAAAAGTGGGATGAACTGTTCTTTTGGGGGGGGGGGCGGGAAACACAAGGGATTTCTGATGGTCTGAAGCCGCCGGTGGAGTCCGATTCTGCCTCCTTTAAGACAAACACACATGAAAGGGGAGGGAAAAGATAGGAAACGCAGCATCTGTGGCTGGTGCCGTCTCTCTCCTGCAGCCTCATGGCTGGAGACACACGGGCCCAGCCCACGGGCGGATCAGCTGCGCCGAGACCTGGCAAATTTGTCGCAGCGTTGGGGCTGTTTAGGGCCCTGCTTTCAGTGGCCTCTTTGGTCGCAGGCTTGCAAAAGTTGGCGTTGCATTGGGTGGCGGAGCCGGGCGCTGATTACACAGCTGGCAAAAGGAGGGAGGGGGAAAGAAGGCGAAGGAAACTGACACATGGGGGGTGGTGGGGGGGGGGGAGCAGCAGGGAGCAAGTCTCCCACCCCCAGTGTGCCGGGTTTGGCCGAAGCAGCTGGAGAAAGATGAATTCACACTGGAGCAGGTGCAGAGAAAGGCTGCCGGGCTGCTCGTCATGGATCAAAGTGCTGATCTCATCAGAGGCGTTTGACAGAGCGGGGCTTGTTCCGTCTGCGGGGGGATCCGATTGCGGGGGGGTGTCCCCGGGAAGGGAGAAGAGCTAGCGAAGCTAAGGAGAATGTTGGCACCAAATGGGAAGAAACTAACTAGCGGAGGCTGGTTTTTCTCAGGAAAGGAGGGAGGGTCTGGGGCAGTCTCCCAACTGGAGCCGCGGCAGGGCAGACAACCATCATCCGCAAAATGGCAGAATCCTCCGGGGCCCTCTCTCTGGCCGGCTCTGTTCAGGAGGCCTGTCGGGACCCGGGTGAGAAAGGCCCAATGGTGCCCAGGACATGGTGGGGGGTGGCAGCTGTGATAGAGGCGCACTCCACGCCAGGCCACGCACTCACTGGCCAACTGACACGCAGCCCGGTGACTTCAGACATTTCCTCCCATTTCTAGACTCTTTCAGCCCGTTGCCATGCCGACCCCTGACATTCCCAGGGGCCCCTTAGCCCTACGGCTTTTAACTTAAACGATCCACCCCGGATCTGCCCGTTTGTTGCCAGCTTTTCAGACTCGGTTCCCGGACCAGGCTGACGACTTTTGTCCCCTCGGACATGTGAAAATCCAGGCGTCTTTACCGCGGGCCCTGGAACGCAGGCCGACGGGACTGCCTCGGCTGTGCACACCGGCGCTGACCTGGTGCTAGCGGCACTCTGGGCCGTACAGACTGCAGGGTGAGTGCCCAGCTAATGAATAAGGACCCGGATCTGAGCCTTGTCCTTTCTACTCGCCCATGGGACCCACTAGTAGATTCCGCCCCCCACCACACACACGTCAGATCCATGAGCAAACTCGGTGAGGTCCAAGACGCAGCAGAGATTTGGATCCACGGGGACGCGAGGGGATGGAAGTGTGGGGGGCCACAGGGTTTGCCTGGCTACGGTGGTGTCGGTGCCCCACGGGTTGTTATTGCCGTGAGGTACAGAAGCACCAACGGGCCCTAACGCAAGCAGAGCTAACATGCATATGTCTGCTCCTCCCAGCTCCAGTGTGAATGTACTCCCAGCCACGCCACCCCCTCCCCCGACGGCCTAGGAACTGGTGACATGGTTTTCCCGTCTCAGGAAAATAGTCAAGATTTGGGGAAATTTCCCCGTCTCGAACGGAGATGAAGAGTCCAAATCTCGAAAACGTTCGCGAACCGAACAGCCAACGTTGGTTTGGGTTCAGGTCGCTGGAAACGTTTCGTTTTTGAACTTTCTTCATTTCGGTTGAAACGACCATTCGCCTCAGGTGCTACCGGAAAAAGCCTTTCAAGCCAGGAACCGGCAATGTGCCATTCACACGACAGCAAGATGGGACATTTTGACAATTTCTAAACATCTTTTCACCTTTTTTTTTTCCAAGTCAAGAAATTCCCCAGAATCGACCCGGCCCTGTAAACAGTTTTGGTTTTCAATGAATCGACTTTTTTGGATGGGAAAAGTCTCATTGAAAATTCCCTGACTTACACCATGCTAACATAGAACAGGCACTGACCCTAACAGAGCATCCCGCTCTAGTGGCAAGGCGCCGGCTAGCGGTTTGTAACTTGACTACAGTAACGGAGCTAATACAGCAGTTTCCTTGGATCATGCTCTTAAAGCCAAAGATCCAGGGATCCGTTCCCGCAGAGAGTAAGCACACACCCTTGCTTGTCCGTCTGCCTCACCCTTGCTGAGCATACAGTCTCCTTGGCCCCTTCAGCCCTCGGGGGCAAGCTGGGCTGGTTGTTTTGAATCTGGATGCAGCTGTCTTTATTCCCTTGTGCGTGACTCACAACAGCATGGACTAGTGTGATTCTGCTGTTCTTAGTTTGGAAAGTTTCTGGGAGGGGAGTGGGGTCTAGTGGTTGGGGGGAGGAGTGGGGGCTGGGAGCCAGGACTTCTATCCCCAGCTCTGGGAAGGGAGTGGGGTCTAATGGATAGAGCAGGGAGGCTGGGAGTCAGGACTCCTGGGTTCTGTCCCCCCCAGCTTGGGGAGGGGAGTGGGGTCTAGTGGATAGAGCAGCAGGGGGTGGGAGGGCCTGGGAGTCAGGACTCCTGGGTTCCGTTTCCAGCCCTGCCTGCCTTAAAG